ATATATATATATATTACGTGTGTGTGTGTGTGTGTTTATTATATGTATCTATAGGTTTAGCGTTTAGCGGCTTAAGGGCTTAAGGGTTCAGGGCACATACACAGACACCACCTGCGAGCCGTCGCCCCCCGCTGCCGCCGCCGCGGCACTCCGCCGAAGCACGGCATCCTAAAGCTCGGGATATGATAACTACCTTCAGGGTTTAGGGTTTAGGGTTTAGCGTTTAGGGTTCAGGGTTTAGGGTTTCGGTCTTTTTGAACACCTGTTTACGACTGCAGACATCCTAGTCCCTGCCGCAAGACTGTAAGGATCGGGTGCGCTTGACCCTCCACTCAACATTGCGCATCTTCGGGGGTTAAGGGTTGAGGACACAGGGAGTTTAAGGCTTATGAGGTGTAGGATTTGAGGATTGAGGGTTTACGGCGCCCAGGGGGTTTAACGTTTAGGGTTTCGGAGGTTTGGAGTTTGGGTTTAGGGCGTAGGGGCTTTAGGGTTTAGGGTTTAGGGGTTTGGGGATAAGGGCCTCAATATAAATAGGCTTCCTTTATGCTCCTTTAAGGGTCCTTTGTAAAAGTGGCTATAAACTCAAAACCCCCAAGCTCTTTTCTTTAGCCTTCCAGCCACAACTCCCAGAACTCTAAACCCATAAACCCTCAAACCCTAAGGTTGAGGGTTTAGGGTTTAGGGCTTAGGGAACCCTACACCCCGAACCCGAAACCCCAAACCCCTCCACAAACAACTTCGAGACCTCGGAGTACTGCTATGATACCCTGACAGAAGCATATACTTGGAGGTTCAGGGGACTCAGTCATTAGGTGTACAAGTAGGAGTTACATCTACTCAGACCCCCCAAACTAAGGCGCGTATAACCCTACTTGCCAAGTCGGCTGGTCCTTCAAGTACCAAGAGCCCTAAACCCTAAACCCTAAACCCTAAAAACCCTAAAAACCCTAAACCCTACCTAGACCCTAAACCCTAAACCCTCGCCCTCCATTGCATCACCGGAGGGTTTCTCTATGGTTTTATGGGATTTTGTAAGGGTTTGTATACGGCCTTACAAGGTTTGCAGTGTTGAGAAGCGTTCATAAAGGTTCATAAGCTTTCATAAGCGTTCTACACAGCTTTAAAACGGTTTTTGAAAGGATTTCACAAGGGTTCTATGCCGCCTTCCACAGGTGTTATGACTTATTTAAGTACTTAGCAGGGTTCTATCCCAAAAGGTCGAGGTAGGGGTTTGGGGCTTAGGAAGCGGACCCCCGCCAAAAAAAGAAGTACCTTCAGGGCTACTTTGGCTTCAGATGTCTTAAAGAACTGCAAGCTCTGCCTGCAAAGAGCCCAAACCCCCTTGATTAAGGAATATTGTGCTGAAAGCATGAAAGGAAACCTGTCAAACCCTAAACCCTAAACCGTAAGCATTGAATATCCCTAAACCCTAAACTCTGAATATTCCTCAACCCTAAACCCTAAACTCTGAATATCCCTAAACCCCAGGCCCCAAACCCTGACTCAAAGAAATATCCTTTCCTTGGAGGGGAGCCTCGAGAAGCCCGAAGATCGAACTCCCCCACCAAGCCCCGTAAACCCTTTTAGGGTTTAGCGGTTTAGGGGTTTAGGGGTTCAGGGGTTTAGGGGTTTAGGGTTTAAGGGTTTGGGGGGCTTTGAGGCTTACGCGTTTAGGGGTTCAGGGTTTGAGTTTAGGGTTTTGGGTCTTGGGTTTGGGGTTCATGGATAGGTCCTGCGGGACGTTGTACCACTTGTCCCCATCGTCGTAGTCTACCTGGTAGCTGCCATCTTCGTTCCGACCTTGGAAGCAAGGGTTTAGGGTTTAGGGTTTAGGGTTTAGGGTTTAGGGTTTAGGGTTTAGGGTTGGGAGCAAGGGAAGCCGGTCCCCACAGACCCCAAACCCACAAACTCCCAAATCCCAGACCCTGAACCCCGGCAAGCCCTAAACCCCGAAACAGTTCTTAAGGACTTTGGGGTTTCAGGATTCAGAGTTTAAGGCCCAGGATTGATAATCTACGGTATTTTGTAGGGTTTAGGGTTTAGGGTTTAGGGTTTAGGGCTTAGGGTTTAGGTAGGGTTCGGCAAAGAAACAGAGCCTTTTGTTCCCATGGCGCCCAGACCACTATGTAGCTGAACATAAGCACCACCACCAATGGCCGTTGCCTTTGGTGTGCCAAACCTGCACATGTGAACAGTGCTGACCACCACAAGAGTAATGTCTGCGTGCTGCACTATCGGTGTTTCTGCTCCAACGGGGTAAACTGCCTTGCTTGGCCTGGTGTGTGGGATCTTCTTGGCCCCTAAACGCCAGACCCCAAGCCCCAAGCCCTAGACCCTACCACTGCACATCTGCCCTGTCTTATCTTGGGACTTGGGGTTTACGGTGTTGGGGTGCTGAAGACTTCCCGATTATTAGGTGGCCTTGACTGCACCAAAGCGCGATGGTCCAGTAACAAAGGCAAAATTAAATACCTCAACTGATGTCCTAGTCTTCATTGACGGCACCACTGAGAAGGACGATCCTAAACCCTGAAACCCCTAAACCCCATACCCTAAACCCAAAGCCCTAAACCCCCAAACCCCACGCCCCAAACCCTGAATCCTGAAAACCCGCAACCCGAAAGCCTAAACCCTGAAAGCCCTGAAAACCCTGAAAACCCTAAAAGCTCGAAACCTCTGGCGGATCGGCGGTCGCGCGTAACAGCTTCAGGCGAAGCCAGGCCAAAACCAAGGCTCTCTACAGAAACCCTACCGTAGAAGCCCAAAAGTTGGAAACCCAATAGCCTCCATCCTTAAGAGTCATGTAGGGAATCCCAACACCAGTTGTCCTTAATCCGGTTTCCAGCTTTTTGGGGCTCACTAAAGCCCTAAACCCGAAACCCTAAACTCTCAGACCTATAAGCCCGTTATGGAGGCCTCGTATAGCACTTCGATAACCCCCTCTAAAGAAAGCAAGGGTCTAGGGTTCAGGGCCTGGGTGCGAATTCCCTAAACCCTAATCCTAAACCCTAATCCCCTAAACCCTAAACCCTAAACCCTAAACCCTAAACCCTAAACCCTAATCCCCTAAACCCTAAACCCTAAACCCTAAACCCTAAACCCTAAACCCTAATCCCTAGGAGGTCTTAGCGTCCCGCCGACAATTCTGCCAGCGTAGTACCTGCAAGCACCAAAGAGCTGCAAGGTGGGATTTCGGGTTTAGGGCTTAGGGTTGAGGGATTATCCTAAAGGGAAGCATACCCAGTGAGCTTAAGACTGAGAAAGTAGTGGCATCATATGAGTGTTGATATTCTTCTGCAAACTGTTTTCTTCGTAAGTTGCTTGATTCCTTTCGAGTGAGCGTCGCTGAACTGTCGCACGACATGCTTCTAGCAGCAGCAGTAGTCATAGTCATAGTAATCGTCTTTGAATTAGCCATAGTTGATCAGCGGCATCGTCTTCGTCAATAGAGGTTTTCTGCTGCAGGCCTTAGCAGTTTGACTAAGGGTTTTTGGTGTGGCACAATAAATTCATATGGGAAGTTTTCTAAATTAGGGTCCCTGTTTAGATCCCCACTATAGTACGGCACCCATATAAAAGGGATCCCAAAAGGGATCCTAAAAAGGAAAACCACCCGTTTAGGAGCGAGGAGGCGATGTTGCTAGTTACTAAACGTTCACGACCGTCCTGGCGATCAGCCTTGGCGCTGGGTTTAGGGTTTAGGGTTTAGGGTTTAGGGTTTAGGGTTTAGGCCTCTATAGCATTCTAGATTCTACATTCATCCGGAACTGAACTCTAAGGAATAAGATTGGCAATATAGTGGCCTTATAGGGTTTTGGGGTATACTATCATTCTAATAAGGACCCCCCAAAACACTAGTCTAATTATTAAGCCCTCTACATTAATACTTGTAATTATTGGTGCCTCACTACGGTTGATGGACAAAATCCTGCATGACCTTATATACCTAAACTATGGGATTTATGGTACTACACTATATTTGGGTCATGCAGAATTTTGTCCATCAACAGTAGTACGTAACCTTAGCTCGGAAGCCGCGACAGGAAAAAGGAGCGGTGCCACAGCGTGCAAAGTAGCACACAGGGCCCCATGAAACCAAAACCGGCTCTAACCACCACCACCCTGAACCCTAAACTCTAAACCCTAAACCCTAAACCCTAAACCCTAAACCGACTCTAACCACCTCCACCCTAAACCCGAAAGTTGAAACCCTGGGCCCCTTAGCATGGACCCTTAACCCTGGGATTCTTCTACACCTACTGCAGGCCGTATATAAGGGTCCCTATCAACCCTAAACCCGAAACCGCAAGCCCTAAGCCCTAAGCCCTAAACCCTAAGCCCTAAACCCTAAACCCTAAACCCTAAACTCAACCCCTGAATTGTACCCCCTTAAGGGCCCCTTGGACAAGCAGAAGCCGGCTTCTCCGGTTCAGGTGCACTTAAATTTTTGTCTTTCACTTAGATTTTTGTCTTTTGAGGCTCGTTTAGGGCTTAGGGTTCAGGGTTTAGGGTTTAGGGTTTAGGGATTGAGGTATGGGGTTTAGGGTTTAGGGTTTACGGTTTGGGGTTTGGGTTTAGGGTTTAGGGTTTAGGTTGTGCATTTTATGAAGGATCCTACTGATATATGGCAGGGTCGAGGGTTTAGGGCCGAAGCCCCTGCTGTCTGAAGATCCATTGCAGATCGATTCTGCTCACTAGTTACCCTAGACCCCTAACCTAATCTCTAAAAACCTAAACCCCAAACCTAAAACCCCGGACCCTAAAACCCTAAACCCTACACCCTCAACCCTAAACCCAAACCCTAAACCCAAAACCCAAAACCCGAAGACCTATACCAAGACCCTAAAACCCCCCCGCCCTACCCCTAAAACCTAAACCCTAAACCCGACACCCCTGAACCCCAAAACGAGGGCCTGCTGGTGATCCGCCCGGAGCTGAGCTGATACCGGGCTTCGACCCTCGTCCCGACCTGAGCAAGGCTTCCTTCTTCAGGGCACTAGGGTTTTGGTGGTTGCGGGCTAGGGTTTAGGGTTAGGGCTTTAGGGCTTTAAGGTTTTAGGATTTAGGG